ATTTTGAAACACGTTTATATACAGACAGAAATAATCCTGTAGAAAGGTAAAGACAAAGAATAACTGAAAATGGGGGCCGGCCATGTGGTGCAGCGGTTAAGTGCGCATGTTCTGCTTCTCAGCGACCTGGGGTTTGCCGGTTTGGATCCTGGGTGTAGACATGGCACCACTCAGCAAGCCATGCTGTGGTAGGCATCCCACATATAAAGTAGAGGAAGATGGGCACGGATGTTAGCTCAGGCCCAGTCTTCCTCAGCAAAAAGAGGAGGCAGATGTTAGCTCAGGGCTAATCTTCCTCAAAAAAACAAAGAATAACTGAAAAAGTAAACATGAAGAGAGTGAAAGAGGAATGAGATTTACCGTACAGCCTGAACTATGAAAATGCCTTAGGAGCTGATATAGTCCTTCCATGATTACTGGAGGTGGGACACAGAAGGTGCCTGGACAAGCCCGTACATTTGGAGATGTGGTGATAGGAAGACAGAAGATTGCCTCTCTGATGGCTTCTATTTTCTCTTTAAAGAGTGAGGCAAGGTTATGAGAGGAGAGTTTGTGGAGGAAAGGGAAATGAGAGTGTGAGGTTATTTAAAGAGAAGGTATAAAACTATCTACATGAATAGAAAGTGAACCCGCTAGAGAAATAGAGTTTAAATGTTGAGCAATAATTAGTAGCTGTTTGTACTTTGGAGTCACAAATTTAAAGTTAATTTAAGGACAAAAAACCCAGTTTGATGGTATAGTTCCCTCCAGCATTTTTAAATCTGTTCTGGTACAGGCCAAAGAATGTAGATTTGCCAGGTAAGACTTGAAGAGGAAATAAGGTCAAATTGAACTAAAGTCCTTTGCAAAGGAATTGCTAAAATGACAACCGAGGAACCTAAGCTGACGCAACATGTAAGTGAAGACAGAAGGGGTGATAAGATGGTGAGTAAGATTTTAGCTGATTAGAGCTCTCAATGAAGTGGAAGTATCTGGGTTTACTCAAGAGCTGGGAAGACAGCTTGTTCAGAGAAGCGGGGCTCTGAACTGAGATCTTAGAGGCGGTGCGTTCACAGTTAACGACAACGTGTTCAGCGTATGTAGCTGAGGAGAAAAGGGTGCTGGGGGAAAAGTGGTCAAGGAAGCAGGTGGCCAGAGTGCTGCCTGGGCCCGTCCGCAGGGAAAGACAAGGAGTTCGGGAACTCTAGTCTGCAAAGAACGAGGGAGAGAGCCTGCGAGTCGGCAGTGATCTGCACTAGGATTTCAGTGGCATTCTGGCATATTTTGAGTTTAAAACTTCTCATTTGATCCATGATCCCTGACTTACTTCTGAAAGTCCGTTCTTTCCTCAGTGACCTCTGAACTGAAGCTGACTTAGACCACACTTCCTGGGGCAATTCCTTATCAAACAATCCAGATCCATAGCCTCTGATGCCTATGGATAGGAAGTGCAGGGTAAGATACTTAGGGATAGGAATGCAGAGTGGACTTCATCTCTTTTTCATCCTATCTTGTTGTTTTTGATATTTTCATTGTAATGTAGCCATTTTGATTCTACGGCCATTTTGACATACAGAATGTAAGTGATTGCTATATCGATTTCTGGTATTGATAGACATCCAAGCCAGCATGTTTCCCCTTATTACTTAGACTCTCATCTCATCCCATTACCCTTCCCAGCTTTCACGCACCCTTCCACCCCATTCTCTAGTGATCCATATACGTGATGAGTCAATTCCACGATAACGCCACTCTCTCCTCTAAACACTTCCTTCGCTTTCTTGGCTTAAATTGTGACCTAAATATCACCCCAAATTATCACTTTCCTTCTAGTTCTCTAAAACAGGAAATTATTTCTCTTATCCTCCACATGACTCAAGGCCAACAGATGGGGGCAGGTGTCTTCCTCGCTGCAAATTTCTATTAAACCCCTTTCCCTCTTATCTATTTAAAACTTCCAACTGCTGTAAAGATAAAATGGACAGGCTTCACCTTCCTTCACTCTTATTCATGGCAGCTACAGTTTCCATGGAATTATATAGATGGGAAACAAGTCAGAGTTTGACTTGTCTTCTATCAAGGCTATATACTATGCCATTCATTTTGGAATCAGAATATCCATATTTTATATAATTTGTTGCAGCAGAGATACACACCTCTACATTTAAAGAATCAATATAACAATATTTGAATGAATACATAGGTCAATTAGAAGAAGTCAGAAGAGGACTTGAAGCAGGTCTTCTCGTTCCTGAGCTGGTCAGAACCCCAGAACGACTGGAATTATCTCTAATTCTACACAGTCTTCCAATTTTGTTCAGTGACCAATGAGTTGAGACTAACTTCCCAGCTTAAATCTATGAGATGGAGGCAAATACTCCCAAGCAAAGATGCACTGGTATTCTAATAAAGTGGATGTATAGTGTTCACCTGACTTCATCAGGCAGGCACAGCATAGCCATTCTGGCTTCGTGCCTCTCAGAACAGTTGGAAATGCCCACAGAGAGATGAGGACCACCACCCTACCCTACCATCCCTCTAGGAGAGGACTAACAAGAGGTAGTAGAAGGGCCTGACGGACTCTCTCCCCTGATCAGACCATGGGTCAACTTCCTGGAGACTTGAAGGCAGGGCAGACTCTCTCTGATAGATACTCTGCTCATTTTCTTGCTATGTATTTCTACACAGCTTTTTTTTTTTTTTTTACTTATGTTTAATTTTCTGTGTCTATTAATATTTTTTCAAAAATTACTGCCCACTTTCTATTTTAATTTTGGTTTTGCTTTACAAAACAGACTTAGTAAAAGCCTTTACAGTTCCTTAAAATGTTTCATTAACAGATTACTTTAAAAAAAGTTTTAAATAAATATCTCCTTCCAATAGAAAAATCAGTCAGAAAAAAAAAGACATCAAGCACTGATACTACAACAGAAATAAAATTCTATTTCCACAACTTTTCAGAACCATACATAAATATTGTATGTTGTATATTTGTTTCTGTGATTCTTTGTTGCTAGATAGATAACCCCAAATTCTACATTTGTGATTTCTGCTTACAAATCTAAACTTGTAGAATTTTCCTAAAATAGTGTTTACGTAAATAGCCAACTGCGTTTTGACCTAGTAATGCAACTTGAATGCATATCCCTAAAGGCATCAAAGAATTAGCAAGTCTAATACTAAATAATTCAAATCTCTGTCTGCTATATATGCATTGTATAGCACATTTATCGTTACAACTTTGATAGTTTGTTTGAATGTGACTGCGTCACAACGCTGTGTCGGTGAGACATCCCTTTGTGCTTTTTCAGTCACTGCTGCCTCCCAACCTCTCGACATTCCTTAGCAGGTATGTGAACTAAAACAGTTTTCAAAACAATTGACATAGATGACTGAGAAATTTCCCTTAGAGTGGCAGTCATGATAACAAAATATCATTTTCTTAACAGATATTAAATATTTACAGCAGAGAAGAGATAACTTAATGGAAAAATTCAAAGAGGCTTTGGGATGTTGGTTTGGAATAGTATTATAATAGTCCTTTGGTATGAAAAAAGTGTGTAAATAAAAACAGCTAAGCCACTTTGATACTGGACACCTGGACCTCACATTTATCCTCTTACCTTTGAAATATGTATCATTAAGGTATATCTCTCTTGATTGCTGATTCAATAAATCTAATTTGGCTATTTCTATATTTATTAATTTTACTATTTGGGATGTTAAACAGTGTGTCCCTTTCAGCTATGATATTGCTTACCAAAATAAAATGCCTGACTTACGAAGTATTAGTTTACTTCATTTTAGCTTCCATTTAATTCTCCCAGGATATGTGAAGCTGTATGCCACTTAACAGATTTTTAGCATAAAGATCCTATATCATATGGGTCCACAGTGCTTAAATGGCTCTATACTCAGCTAGAAATAAAATTTTACTTGGTGTCTAGAACTAATCCATAATATATTAGCTCCATAGAGTAAATTAAATGAAATTCCTTACTAAGATGAATTCGTTAAAATAGAATTGTAGTTGAGCCCATTATTAAAATTCCAGGACTGACAATGACACCAGCACAATTTTAGTTGGAGCAAACATTTCTTTAGCAGAAATAATTTTTAGTGAGCAATTTTCCTCTTTCTAAAAGAATAATAACAGCATGATAGTAAGAGAATTTTGACTATGCTGTCATTGTGAAGTTAGAAGTAGGTAATCTATCAGATTTCTTTTTCAGCTAATTGGAAAAGAAGAGGGATATGGAATTAAGATTCACACTCTACTGGGAACTTAGAGACAAATTAAAATGTTAGGTATAATCAAATCCCAGAGTTTGAAAGGCCTTGAGAGGTCATCTATCTAGTCAAATAGCTTTCATCTGAGAAGGAACAAAACTTAAATCATCCTTCCACAATTACTACCTGAGCCCTTTTAAAGGCAACCCCAATTAGCTTAGCAGCTCAAAGCGATGTTTAACCATCTTCTTCGCGGGGGAAATAATCCTGATACCTGAACACCTCAAGTTGTGGATAACACTTTTCTATGCCATCAGTTTATATGGAGAAAAATGTATCTGAAACCTTTCTATGAAGAACTGGAATGCTGTCAAATCAAGGTGCTCTCTTCTAATCTGAAGGAAGTCCATGTTTCTTTAACGTATTTTTTTTCTTGGGTTTCCTTTCAAGCATTTTCATTATTTTTATAATTCTACATTAATATTTACAAGTCTACATCCAACTCACTTTCTTGAAGCCCAAATTAGCCAAGAAGCTTTAAAAAATATGTTTAAGTGGAGTTAAGTACAATAGGAGAATTCTTTATTGTTCCTACCACTGTATGTTACATGTGTGTTTTAACCTTCTGCAACCCTCTACTATCTATATATTTTTTCCATTGTCATACTAATTTTCAAATTTGGTCTCCTCCTCACCTTGTTAACTTACCATTTCCTCTGGAACTTTGTTTCATTAAAATGACTTTGTATATATAAAGAATTAAAAGAATTTATTGGGATAACTGAACTCACCCTAGGAGCGAAGGTGGCATCATTGATAGAATGCATATGACCATAAAGAGACTGCTCACATTTACCCTAGGAAGACAAAGCAGACATAAAATCAAATAAACTCCATTTAACATATGAAAACAAATTGATGAATAATTCACTTTATTTGTTTTAAAGTAAGATTTTAGTCCAATGATAAAATTAATACATTCTCATGATAGAAAATGTTAGCTTTTGCTATCAGCTATCATTCAGAATCAGGAAAGCCTGTGCTGGTGGTTGTGCCTCCAGTGCTGGCATCTACACTGAAATTCTAGTGTCCTCACCTTTGCACCATTGAGCTGGCGCTGGACTCTCACTAAATGACTCCATTTTGCAATTAGTATAGTTTTCAAGCCACGGGGCCCAGCGGTGAAGCCATTGTAGGAGGCTCGTGTTTCCAGCACCTCACTTCCACCACTGTGGGCAAGTGGGGTTCTTTTTTCTTTTTTGTTTTTGATTACAGGATCACATTTTAATTCCTGAATTTTCACAGTTTGGCATTAATATCATTACATATATAAAAATGTTATAAAACATGTACAGTAGTATTTTTTAACACAAAATTAAGCATTTGTCTTGTGAAAAGCATACTTCACATCTACACCTTTAGATCATCTTTTCCAAACCATAGCTAAAATTAACTAGAAAAATTTCTAAGTTCTAAAGCTTCAGTTTAAGTGATTCCAGGAGAAATGAGCCCATAACACATTACAAAGGGGATTTAAATGAGGGACCTCTTATTTCGACACCAATATTCAAAGGGTATTCTTAACTATCTTAGGGAGATAACCCAAATTCTGTAGAAGAACCAGAGAAAGCTATATCCGGAATATTGTTTGTAGTTCTTGTTATGGGTTGAAATTCAGATTTAATTCAATAATGTATTCATTCAACAAATATTTTTGAGCAATTAATATATGTCAGGCACAATTCTAGGTGCTTAGGATATGTCAATGAACAAAAGAAAGAACTTTGTTTACAGTGACATTACATTCTAGGGGGAGAAGGAGGGAATAGACACTTAAAAAAAACTATAAGGTGTGTTAGAAGATAATAGGTAATGTGAAAAGAAGAAAAGACAGGCAGAGTAAAGGGTGTCATAAGTTTGGGGATTGAGAGCCTAAGAGCAAATCGGATTATCAAGTAGAATGAAGTGGTTTGACCACACTCAGAAAGTAAGGTTTGAACAAAGGCTGAAGTCAGTAGGTGAGTTAGCCAAGCAGACATCTGCAGAAAAACCCTTCAGGAAGAAGGGAAAGCTAGCGCGAATGTCTCCAGGTGGGAGTTTGCCTGGCCTGTTTCTGGAACAGCAAGGAGGCCAGTGCAGCTGGAGAGAAGTCAGGAGAGTAGGTTTACTCAAAAGGCTCCATCTATTCTCACTCATTACCTCGTAGTTACTAGTCCTAGAACATTTAAAGCTGAAAGAGAGATTACAGAAACGACCAAGAAATGAGATATGAAAGATAGAGAGTCATAATCGTGTGCTTCATTGCTCCAGGACATGCACTGAATATTTTGGAACTAAACATAGTTGGAAAGGCTTTACAACTAAGTTCTACTTAGTCCTCACTATTGCCACTGCATTCAGCAGGTTAAATTTCAAATACCTATTTGCAGAATTAACACATGCTATTAATCCTTTTTCACAGAATGCAAACTTTCCCCATATGAATTGAAATTTCATAAATTTAGCATAAAATTATGTTGAAACACTTTGGCACTCTCTCAGGATGCCCCCTGCCCATGTTACTCTGGTTCAGTATCTTGAGACTATTTTAACTTTAAACCAATTATGCTGAAAACTTCAAACCATCCAAATTCCCAAAGTAGAAATAAATTACTTAAAAAGCCAAAAAGCAAAATATAATGTACTATAATTAGCTTTCATATATTATCTTAGGACCTTTTATGCTTAATTTTCTTTGAGAACCAGTATCACATATAGTTAAATAACCTTATACTTGGATAGTGAGTGTTAATATTTTTAAAAATATTTAAATTAGCAAATTTATCTTAAAATATTTTTGCGTTAATGAAAGCTTTACATTTGGTCCTCTTCTCAAGTGAAAATCTCTAAACTATTTAATTAATTGGTAAGGAAAATGGAGTTTTCTGATTCAATCCTGAATGCCAAGTTTTAATTCAAAGTAGAATCTCTAAGGCACTCTTGCAAAGCCCTGGAAGCATGGGTTATAATGGAAATGCTGACGGACCACATTTGTGCTGCTATGACAAAACCTGCCTCGAAGATCAATGTTTCATGAATTAAGGAATGTTAAAAAAGCTTTTCTATCCAGCTTTGTTCCCAAGATAAAAGTGAATCTCCTCTTTTTGTGGTATAGGGAATATGTGGCTTACTAAAATTCTAGTCTGCAAACAGCCTTAATCAAAAGTAATACCCAAACTGGGATGTTAAAATTTGGAGTATCTTCTTTGATGAATTCTTGTCAGAATTGTTTTCTTTCAAAGAAGTGGAAAAAATTAAAAAGAGGGAAGAGTCTTACAAAAAAAAAAAAACACCCAAAAATCATGGGACCTAACATGTCATTGCTCCACACTTGATTCTCTCAGAAGAGCTGTGTGCAATATGGTTTCCGTAACTGGCCCTGGGGATGGAACCGTGGGGAACTTAATTCTTGGATCTGCTACCTAATAACTGTGTGACCTTGAACAAATTGCTTCACTTCACTGTGCTTCAGCTGCCTCATTTAATTCTCTAAACAAACCTGTAGGTTAAATACCGTTACCCGTGTCCAATGAGGTAATGGGATTTAACCTATAGGTTTGTTTTGAGCATTAAATGAGATAAAGCATGTGAAATGTTGGTAGAGTGCCTAGAACAAAGTAAGAGCTTAACAAATATTAGCTCTTCACTTGGGACACAAACCATGGAAATGCTGATGACTTTCAAATCACTGTCTCTAAAACCCTTAGCTATCTGCCTGCCTCTTTGAAGACCCCAGTAAGAAGTCTTAGAGGCATTAGTGCTATTAATTCTGTTTGGTCCTCAGATTCACTCCTCATGTGGCACTGCCCCACTCTGTGCCCTGTTCTCGACTAACTACCTTACCTTGGGCTCTCAGGCCCTCTGTTCTCTGGTTGGATTCAGCAGGAGGAAAGCACCACCAGGAGAGAGATGAGCAAAAAGATGCAGAGGACAGGTAAATGAGCACTTCAGCTCCCTTTCTGTTCAGCTGTGACTTTGTCAGTGGCCCCGTCCTCTAATTCCACAACTCCTGTAGAGCAGGTCCTCTTGCACAGCCACAGCTCACACTGTCTGCTTCTCCTTCCTCTGCCCCTTCAGACCTAGGGGTGGTAACTGCTTCCCACTGTTGCTAACCCTTGGGTGCTGTGTCTGATCCCTTAACTCTGTTCACGTTTCTGTAAACATTCAACTTGAGTTTACTCCATGTGTTAGCTGTTTCCTGCTGGTGACTTGTGTAGCCACCCATGATACAGGAAGGGTTAATAATCACTGGAAAAGGCTTGCCAACAAACTGTGACCCAGAGGTGAGAAGGCCAGTCAGCCAATGATGGGTAAGACCTCCAAGGCGAGGCAACCTAAGACAGGCGCGGTCGCTTGGGGGCACAGATGGAGACATGATATCGATATCCGGAGCAGGAGGGGCTGTTGCCTAGGAGGCCTTGCTTGCTCTGAGATAAAAATATATGAGCACAGCAAAAACATGATCATATCAAAACAGAGGCCGAGGGAGGGCTCCTTGAGAAATCACTAAGAATTCTTGGCACTCGCTAATTACTTCATCTAGAACACCTGTGTATGTTTAACAGCTGTAAGCTATGTATATATTGAAACGCTGGTTATAATAAACTCAGAGTGGCCATCAGCCCTCTCTGCATCTATCCTGATGTGTACATTGGATTGTGACACTGACAACCTGTCCAATACAGCATGTTAGATATAACATGCAAAAGTAGACTTTTTGATTTACTACTTCCCAACTGCCCAACTTGACCCTTGCCAAATCTTTCCCTCTAAGTAACCGGCATCACCAGCTGCTCAAACAAAAATCCTAGGTAATCAAAAACCTGAGGATTAGAATACCCCTCTTTCTCCCCCAACACCCACCCCTCCCCTCATCCAGTAACTCAGCTCTTTCTCCAACATACAGCTCTACTCTGCCCACCTCTGTCACTCTCCACCATGACCACTCTGTTGCAAGACATTATCATACAGAACGTGAAGATAGCAGGAGCATCCTTATTGATCTCCTTGCTCCTACTCTCACTCATTCCTCTCACAGCCACTAGAGTGATCAATAACCCCTGAGAGAGATCATGCCATGCTCCTGCTTACAGCCTTTTAAACAATTACCATTGTTCTCGGAGTAAATTCTAAACTCTTTACTTGGGGCCAAAGGCTCTATATGGTTTAGCTTCTGTTTGCCTTTCTGACCTCATCCTTTACCATTCTCTCTTATGTAGTGTGCTCCATGATTATGTTCATGGTTCTATATGGTCAGGGCTTTCTGAGCAAAGACTACACCTGGGTTAAAGGATGATTGAAGAGCAACCTGAAAGATAGAGACCTCCGGAGAGATGTAGGGACATCTCCCCTGAGGCATTTCTTTAATCCCAGGGGTTCTAAGCCTAGAGGCCTTCCCCTCCTCTTCCCAGAGAGCATTTGTTTGTATTTCAGAACAAATCTTCCTTTCTCTCTCTCCCCTGGAGGGGTGCAGGGGCTCTGAGTTTCACAATTTGGGGAGTCCTTTCTGTGGTCCATCACCCCACTGTCCCCCTGGGGTACAACTGGCTTCCTCACTGCTTCTCCCCATGGGGATTGAGGGATGGCAAATCAATGCAGCTGCTCTGGGAGTAAATACATGGTCTGAGCTCATGTCCAGAAACCTCCTGTTTCCTGTCAGGACAAATAAATAAGTAAATATAGACACAAAACCATACCGCTGTCGCACTGGCTTTCCTGCTCTTCTCACAGGCCTAGCATGTTCCTGCCTTCATACTTCCTGTTTCTTCTACCTTGAATGTCTTCACGTAGCTACATATACATCCTTGTCCTTCCCATT